TTGTCATTAAGGGTGTTTGGTTTAGTATAATAGGTATATCTGCTGGTAATGGATTATTCTATCCTTCTGACTTATGAGGAAAGAAAGAATGTGATAGACTCTTACACGTAAATATCCACAATCATTGTTGAGTATTTCAATAAATGTCTGATGTTGAGAACTTTCCAATACTCCTGACCTAGGTGACACTGAGAGATTCGGATATTAGCACTCAGGCCACAGTCACAGTCATAGTTTAGCGTGGCCCTGTCCACGAGGCTGATCTTAAATCAATGCAGATGATTTCATCTTTCCAGACCCAGCAGAATCCTGCTTTTGGGGTGCTCTAACAAATGCTGTACCCAGAAGTTGTGAACTGTTATTAGGGGTATTTTTTAATAAAAGTTGAAAAACAAATCAACATAACTCAAGGTAAAAAAAAAAAAATTCCAATATTTCTTTCACTTGTTGAGATTGAAGACTCCCTCTGGGCTCCCAAAAAACCGAAGCATACATCTCTCTGACCACCTCCCTAATTTTGCCGCCCTTTCTGTTCACTCGTCCATCTCCCATTAGGCTAGCACTATTGATTCTTGGGGTTAGGTAGTTCTTTGTGTGGGGACTTTCCTGGTAGGATGCTTGACAACAACCCCTGTCTCTACCTGCTAACTGGCAGTAACAGCATCCTCCTGGTATGACAATCAAAAATATCTCCAGACATTGTCAAATATGAGGCAGATAGGGCGGGGACAAAATCACCCCCAGGTAGGAAAATGTATAAATTCCAGCAGAACAGGGCCTAACATCCCTTGTGTCTATAGCCCCAGTCATCACCCAGAGCCTGACACAGAGGAGGCGCTCAGTGAATGTTTAGCTGACGTATGATCACATCAGAAGAATGAAGCTCGTTTTTAAAAGAACTGTTTGACTTCTCATGTGCAGGGTCTCTGTTCTGTACATGTGTCTATAATACAGCTGATGATCCTGAGACAGCCCTAATCCCAGACACACAGAATTGAAAAGGTTAAAATAAAGATATGATTCACCAGGAAAGGAATGTGTTTTTTGCAAAGTATGGTATCAAAAAAATATATATGAAATACCTAGATTTAAATGACAATGATTAGTTTAAGGCACACTTAAAGAAAAGATAGCTTGCCTTTTTTTCCTCCAAGAAGCATGTTGGAAAAAATGCAGTGGGTTTTGGAGTTTTCATCTTGTAAGATTCTTTTATTGTATGTTAAGTTTCTTTTGTTTTTTGTTGTTGTTGTTGTTTGGCTTGGTTGACACTTGCAATTCAAAACACATCCACTTACCCCTGATTAAAGATGTCAGAAGCCCCGGAAAGGACAGTGACTGAAAGGGCTGGTTTGTAGGTGACTGCTCCCCTGCGCTGCACCGCCCCATTGCCTCTCCTGTTCCCACAGAGTTAACTGACTTCTTCCTCCTCCTTCCTTTACCACCTCCTTCAGCTTTTCAAACTTCACCTTAGAAGAAACTCTGTGTTCCTTTGAATTCTCTGGGTATTCGAGTCAGAGAAGGCATGACTCTTCGTTGTCCCTTTAATTCAACAGATCACAGAGCCATGGGTGCGTTGCTTCACTCTGCTGCTTCCAGGGCGGAATTCAGTTGAGCAGTGGGAGAAGGCCAGGGTTAGTCCTTAAACTGGCCTCTGGGTGCAGCTGATCTAATTAAATCGTGGCTTTGGCTGATCTGTGTTATGAAGAGCATGCCTCATATCTTCGCTGTTCTCCTGTGTGCTGGGGAACCCAGGGACTGTCAGAAATAGAATGGTGACACTGTTCTTGCTTTCTGCACATTGGTTACTGCATGCCAGGGCTTGGAGATAAGAGAAAACATTTGGTTGTGGGTGTTCACCTTTAAAAAGACTTCTGAAGACTCTTTTCAACTCTGCATAATTCCTCTTGGCTTCACCTGTACAACTTTCATAATGAGGGGAGAGAGAAAAGATCTCCTGGAGCCCTCAGAATGGCCTTACTATGGCCTCTCTTCCCTTGAGGGATACGATATGTCCTGGGCAAAAAGGATAAAGAAATATGATGTTTACATCTGTTTTCAGAAACTACCTTGTTAGCCCACTAAATTAGAGGAAAGTATGGATATTTAAGATTCCCATAGTCTCTCACTTTGACACCTCTCACCTGCTCTCTAGTGTTAGCACTGTGAAATCAGCTCTTGTCTCCACTTAAGGCAGAAACAACTGAGGCTAATCCCAGCCTCCACTGCAGCACACCATGGGGGCTCAGTTCCTTCGGCTGAATGCCTGGGACTCCAGGTATTTGAAACTCTTGCTATGAAGAGTTCTGTTGTACCTGTTGGGGTCTGGCTGGGAAAGGAGAGTTTCGGGAAGGGGTTGTTAACTGGGGTGGAAGGGATGCTGTAGGGCTGGGTAGAATAGCAGTGGAAGGAAGCTATTAACTAGGCAACGTAACCAGAGCCCAGGGAAAACTAAGCCTGGAAGATGCCCCTGGTGGGAGCTATCGCCCTGGGGGTAGAACTGCATCCAGAACCCTGATGGCCACACAAGGAGAGACTAAGGAAAGAAATACTCTTCTTTCTACTCCTGCCTTTAACTTCCTGCTGGTATCTCCTCTCTCCATTGACCAAACCCATCCCAGCCAGCCAGGGATCCTGGGTGATGAAGTGCAAATAGGTCAGCCTCCCAGGAAACAAACAGGAAAAAGAAGGAAGGGTAGAAAATGGATGTAGGGACTCAACAGAGAACAACTATCATGGCCATTCTCAGACCTGCGGTATAAATAGTAAGAAGGGCCACCTTGAGGATTTATACAAGGCTATGAGGGGGTGGGATGCATTGACTTTCTCTCCCTCCCACCCCCATCTGAGGACCTGTCTCATTCTCATCTTTGCTAAATGACAGAGGCAACTTAGAGACCCCATAATCCCCAGCCAGAGAGACAGTGGAGGAAAATCCCGACTTCCTGATAGCTCTGCCTCATATCGCCCATGTAGTATACGACCAAGGGCAGGGCAGCAGACACAGTGGACCTGTCCCTCAGGGAGCCCAGCTCTGCCAATCCAGGTCTGAGCAAGATGTCAGGTCCTTCTTCTCAAGGCTCTCCTACAGCCACCACAGCACCAGAGAGAATGTGGCACCAGTACTTGTGGAAGTGGTCACAGTTACTCAGGTTCTCCGCCCTCAGAGAGCAAGGAGAGAAATGTTATCAGCTATTGTCTTACTTTAGTCTCCTAAAGTGTATTTCATGGACGCTAAGTCCAACAAGATGCTCTAAAGTCAAATAAGAGGGAAATCTGCATATTTTTTCTAGAAAATTGAGATACGTATTAGCACATTAAAACATCTGAAGTCCTGCAGTAAAGAAATCTGTTCAATGTTCTTGATCCTTGAGGGTCTGACAACATAGTCCTTCCTGAATGAACACCTATTCCCTTTCCTTGAACAACTTTGAGAAAGGCTTGTTGAACCAGGAGCCAATGAAAGGAATCACAGGCATTTGTGACTAGAGTTTGAAGAGGACATAGATTGCTCAGATGTGGTGACCATACTTCTTGCCAAAAGTGGACCTTAACTTAGCAAGCAATTCCAGGTGAACCTGTTTCAAATGGGTTATGTTTTATAAAGCTAGAATAACATTTCATTCATATAGCATGCTAACTTGTGTTATTTCAAGCCAGCAGCAGAGCCAATATCATATCCATCTGTAATTACAATAACTCTAGTATTTTTATGTTAAAATGTGAAATGTAAAATAGTATATTATTCCACCTGAGATTGTCACAGCACTGTAGGACAGGAAGGAGAAAAGTCAGGATCTAGCATCAGCCCTCCTGAACTCACTTCCAGGCTCAACCACTTCCCAGCTGTGAGACCACAGAAAGTCACTGTACCTTCCTGGGACATAAAATGTTCTCATCTTTAATAGTGATTACAATAGTACCTACGCTCAAGGGTTGCCATTAGCATAAATAAGTCACATAAAACTGTTGGCTCTATAAATATGTGTTGGTGTCTTCGTCATTATTGTCGTCATCATCGTCATCATCACCGTCACCATCATCCCCGCCACCATCGTCATTATACACTTCCAGGCCTTTAGGCACCATCACTTTGGCTGTAAATTCCTGTTCGACTGGCATCAGTGCCAAACCACCAAACTGCTCCTTCCTCTTGGTGCCAAGAAATCGGGCTTTTAGGGAACACAAAGTGAAGGATGAACATTCTGGCCTTGCTGAGGACTTGGAGCTTTTTCATAATGCTTTGTCTTGGCAGAAAAAAGCAAGGAACATTAGTGAATGACCATGTTGATGATGTAAGCAGCAATTAGGTTAATACAGTCCTAAGGTGTGATGATGTTGAGTTTTGCATGTTTCTGATCAAGTCAACGTTCCAAGACCAAAATTATGTTGAGTTACATTTGACCATTACCACACTTAAAGTCTTTATTTCCTTTTACTAATAATCCCAAATGTTGTCTCATTGTATAAAATTGTAAGTTTTTATTTCAAGTTATCTTACTGAAGTAAATTTACCTTTTTTAATATGGATAGGGAAAGTTGTAAAAAGAGTATAATGAACTTAAAATTGCTCTGGTGTTCTCTCTCCCTCACTCACTCTTTCTCTCCCCACTCCCCTTAATTTTTCTTACTCTCTGAAGGGAAGTTTTTCAACTTCAGACATTTTGAGATACATTTTTGAATAATTTCTTCATTCAAATATCTTTGAAATATTCATCATTTCATTCATATGATAAACAATAAAGAACCATTTCTTGTTTTGAAAACAAAAAATGAATGGCTATAATTAAATTGTGAAGAACTTTTAGAAAGTATGGCAGTTTCTCGCAGACATTTGATTCATGGCCCATATGTGATTAGTGAATCACTTGATGTGACATCTCTGTCAGTCACTACTGAAAGTGCCCACAGCCCAACTAATTACTCCTGGTGAAAGTGCACAGTCAGGTTTGCCTTCATCAAACCTGCACTTGTCTTTGCTTCACTTTGAAATGTTTGGCAAAATGGCCAGTATAATGAAGCTGAGTGAGTCATGCCAAGGAATTGACAGAGTAGGAACAATTCTTTCCCTCACCAATTCAGCACTACTCAGTCAAAAGATGTGCCTGCCTTGTGCGCCTAAGTTCTCGACTTGTCCTCAACTCTATTTTTAACTCAAGTTACAGAAACGGCTCAAGTCCTAGCCATGTATTTCATTCAAATCAATTCTAGATTGCTTGTACTTTATATACGTTGATTGAACCTGAAGAACCTTTCTTTAATCAATTACCTTCCTTAGATACATCTCATTCACTGTGTTGTTGACTGTTTCATTGCATTATTGATGAGGCAGAGGGGGCATTTGTTTTCATTCACCCTGGCTCACATCCCTTGATCTGAATTATTTCAAAGATTTTACTTTCTGTTTGCTCACTTTTATGGGAATCATCTTATAAACTCATAATTCAAGACTTTTCTTTCTTTAGTTCAAAGTACTTCCTTTATTTGATTTGCTCTCTTATTTTCAATCGCTCTTTTAAAATTGTCTTAATTAATAGATAAACAGATTTTTCATGCTTGTTTTAACATTATTCTATTTTCTATGAAATAAAGGATTTTCCTACTACAAATGTTGAGTTCATTTTAATTTCCTTAACCTGTTTCAAGCAAGCAGAATGTAATTAATAAGAGAGAATTCACTCAAAATTTGTAATTATTTTAAATTAATTTCACCTCTTTCATGTTTTCTGAATTTTTCTCAATTACTAAATGCCAATTGAAAATTTTATTGAAAAACTCATCATGTTCCTTCTTAATATCAGTTTTTATCATCACTGGGCCAATTTACAGTTTACATAACTAGTGTCATATATTTTGTATTTTTTACCAAAAGCAACTTACAAATTGCTTTTTCTTGTAGGAAAGTTGGGGGAAGACAGGGTATGGTTGACAGCAAGGGAATAGCAAGTTCTCACAGTACCATTTAAGTATGAAGAATGTTCATAAATCTTGTAAAAATAACATCTTTTTCCCCAATGTTGAGTCCAGTTTTCTCTCACTCCCCTAAATAACCAGGGTCCCCTAAAGAAACCCTAGTCAGTCCTGGGCCTGCAGACCTGAGCTTAAAGACAGTGCTCTCTCTGCAGGTGTACCTGGCAGCAGGCACTGTGTACGGACTGGAGAGCCAGCTGACTGAGCTGGAAGATGCCGCCCGCTGCATCCACAGTGGCACTGACGAGACCCAACTGGCAGATCTGGAGGACCAGGTGGCCACAGCTGCAGCCCAGGTCCACCATGCTGAACTCCAGGTGAGAACTCTCCTCTCTGCCCAGATGGGGGCCTTCAGGGTAAAAGAGGGAGCCCTGCCTTCAGCAAGAATCTCTTTAAAGCCATTGGACCTATCAGTTCCCATCACCTCCAGCATGTTTGCATGGATAGGGTCCTTCCAGGTAGATTCCACCAAATCCATTTAGGATGCATAGTTCTCTTTTCTCCCAAATTATAACCTTGATAATATATTGGACTTCCCTTAAATACCTTATGCTGGTTTCCTCTTTGACAAATTTCCTGGCCCATTTGTAGTTCTCCTTGCTATATAGGTTTCCATTTCACCCTAAGACTATCCTTCTCCAACCCTTATCATACTGTTGATTACTTATGTACTGCCACATTCCCCCATTATAGACTAAAAGCTCTATGAGGGCAGGACTATAACTGTGTAGCCTAACATGTAACTCCAGTGCCTTGTACAACACCTGACACAGATTTGGCACTCAATACAAAACTAAATGAATGATGAAATTGAAAGTGTAGATTTCTCAGACTGATATTTTGCATGAGAAACAGACAGGATTTAGATATGGCTATTTTATGAGTAGAAAAGATTTCTATACTCTGTAACTTTGTGAAGATGCCTCTTTACACTTTTCCTAGATATCCCCTTGGCCTTTGACTCTGTGAATCAAACTTGGTCATAGATTAAACCACTGATTCTCAAACTGGGTTCTGTGGACATATTCTCAGGGAACCATGATAATTTTTGTCTTTTAAAGAGGTCCATATGTTACTCAAGTTTGAGAGACACTGGTCTCTGCAGCATAAGTTCAGTGCAGACCCCTGGTTTACTAATATTTCTATACATCTTGCCCCTTAAAACAGATTCCTCGAGAGAACTGTGGTCAACAGAAACCACAGAGAGAGAAGGTGGCAATCTCAGGCAATAATTATTTTAAAAATAAATATTTTCATTTAAAAGAGTTAAAAATCACAATTCCTGACACCGTTAACCATGCTTGAGAATGAGAGGGCACAATTCTCCACTCTGTGAATGGGTTAATGTGGACTAGAAATGCTCTCATCAGACATGGCCCTGGTGACTATTACCAGTAAGAATGGTTGAAAAGCAACTCTCCTAAACCAAATATACTTTTTTACAAATTTCACCCAAGACTTAATCAATCTATTGTCAAAATTTTATAAAGTAGAATCAAATCATTCATTTCCTGGTACATTGAGCAGCAAATAATTCCTGTATGACATTTCAGGAAGTAACTTTTATGGGTGTTTGGGAAGGTTTTATTAGATAATTACTTATTCCTGCTTCCAAATTTTTCTGTGCTTAAATTGTTGGAGCCATGTTTTATGGCAGAAAACCCTGAAGTCCCAAATGTCCATTTTCCATGCATTTAAATGTACCTATTAAGTAATTATTCATTTTAAAATATTACAATAAGGTGATCATAGCCAATGTTCTGCGAGCCTTACTTTGTGCCAGAGATTGTGCTCAAGGTTTTTACCTCATTATTGTTTTTAATATTTTCAGCAACCTCCTATCGTGGCTACTGTTATTATTATTTTTTTCTCCCCCCTCCCTCCCCTCATTATTATTTTATATCTGAGGGAACCAAGGCTCCAAAAGGTTTAACCACTTGCCCAGGGTCAAACAGCTAGAAAGTGATAAAATCTGGATTTTAACCCAAATCTTTCTGAACTTGTGGCCCACATTAATACCAGTCTGTGCTGTGTGGTTTTCTGAAAATGTGTTGGTCCCACCCTCAGACATATATATACTTGCCTAAGAGTTCTTAATTTGCACAGGGGATTGATGACCCTGCCTTCAGCCTTGCGGATCCTCTCAACGGGACATTCAGAGATGTGGAGACTCTCTCCATACTGCTAGTTGCTGCCAGGTCTCTTCTGTCATCCAGCATCTAGTCTCACAGAGGTCTTCCTGCAGGATGGTAGAAGTAGATGTGCTAAATTGTGTTCTTGAATAAGGACAGATTCTAGATTCTGTCAACTTGGAGCATACCTTACCTTTGGGACTGCTACCTCTCAGGTATAAGGGAAGAATCTCCATTGTCCAGTACCAAAGGAGATTTCTGAGTGACTCATGGAACCATGTTCTAAGGGTGCTGTCCACTTCATCATGCAAAGTTGCCTCTGTGTGCATTCTTGGAGAAAATCTCTCTTAACTCTTATTATCAGGAGAAGTTGCTCTTTTGAGTACTTGGTTTTATTTTGTAGAAAGAGTTCTACACTGAGCTCTTGGCTCCCAGGAAACTCAGAACTGAAATGGTCCTCCTCTTTAAACTTGGCTCAGTGGGCATGCAGTCTTAGGAATGAAGTGGGACATAATTATACAAAGAGAAAACAAAACATAGGTGAAATCAGCCCTCAGTAGTCTCTTTCCTCTTTTTTTGTCCTATGGACTAAAACTTGAAATATTAACCCCTTCTTGTTCTAGAATCTGACAGTCAGCAAATCAGGAGGTCAGCAGCTTGCTTTCCCATTAACCTTGTCTCCTAGGGTCCTCTGAGCAAGCCTCTCCATCAAAACTGCCTCCAGGGAAAATTTGGGCATCTAATCCACACCAGTTGTGTATGGCTGATGAAAGCTTAGTCTGCAACTTTTCTCAGAGGCGTGTGCAATTTATTGGTCTATAAACGAAAAGAATGCAGCTCTCAATGGAAATTTGAGGAGTCAGAACAGAAAGGCATCTGGGGGCCAGAAGGAGCAGAATTCACAGTGGCGCCTTCTGGGGCTGGCTGCTAAGCATCTTCACTGGCATTCTGTCACCAGCTGCCACAGACTTGAGCTCCACCTACCTCCTTCTCCTCTTCTGACCAAGACTGCTATATCTCAAGCATAGGGGAAGCATCTCCAATTTTGCTAACCCTTCAGTCCATCTCTCTGTACCTCCTATAGCACCTATCCCAGTAGACTTTGTCCAAAGAAGCCCTGAATGGGTGACAGCAGAATTAGAATTTGTCGTGAGCAGCACAGAATTATGGAGGGAAAGGGGAGGCAATGGAGACCTCAGGAATGAAGCCCGCACACATTGGCCGCGGGCCTGCCTTCGGGTTACTGTTTGATGCCCCAGCAACACTCAGGATGTGCCGTCTCAGCAAGATCCCTGCCTCTCTGCTCGTCTCTGCTAGCCTTGTCCTGCCTCTCCCAGTGTCCCCCAGGCCAGGCCTTGGCAAATCCTCTAAGATTATGGCAATGTGGCAAGAGCATGGCCATTGACATTAGTTCCAAGCTTTGCCCAAGAGCAGCTATGAGATGGTGGATGTATCACTTATCCCTTTGAGCCACAGTTATTTCATACTTCCTAGAATTATTTTGTGGCATTAATGAGTTCGTATATTTAAAACACTTAGCATGGTGCCTGGCACATCATAATCCTCTTTTCTAAGAGCAGAAACAATGTCTTCTTATGCCTGGGGACAGGGGAGAACCAGGGTTCTCTCCAGGCACGAAGTAGGCTCTTTCTCTCTATTTCTACCCTCAGACTCTGCTGGATGGAAATCTGAGCTCTGTCTGGCTGTCCCATTTTACAAATGAGGAAACTGATATTCAGAGAGGGAAAGAGTTTCTCAAGGCCACTTGGCCTCTTGAACTGGGGCTGCTAGGCCTCCCTCCTAAAACCTGGTGCTGTGGTTTTGGATTTGTGGAGTTATGGAAGAAGGAAGCAGACCTACAAACTGTACTTGCCCTTCAAATATTGCCACTTACGACGCCTTCCCTGACCACTCCCCCTACTCCATACTAAGCTAGGTGGCTCTGGGCCAGGGTTCCCATAGTACCCTAGGCTTTCATTTATCCCTAGGCATGTGCTGACAGGGTTATTGACATACTCTAGAGCTACTTAACTAGAAATTTAAATTCATAAAAAAACGCCTGTGTTTCATCTTCATTAGACAGAGAAGTGTTTGGTAGAAGTTGAATGAATGAATGAGCATGCATCATAGCAGATTTGTTCCTTATAAATTCATAAACTGTTAACAAAGATTCTCTCCTTCTGTATTTTCTTCCTGCTGATCCTATCTTTCTGTTGCATGAAGATTTCTGATATTGAGAGCCGGATTTCAGCCCTGACCATTGCAGGATTAAACATAGCACCATGCGTGCACCTCACAAGAAAACGGGATCAGAAGCAAAGGAACCAGGTATGTTTGCCCCTCACTCCCTTTGTTGAAATGTTGCATGACCTGGAAATTTTAGGAGAGAAAATATCTTTAGCTTTGCAAAGGTATCTTGATCACTGTGTTCTGTTTGTAGGTACAAACTATAGACACATCAAGGCAGCAGAGGAGGAAATTGCCTGCTCCACCGGTGAAAGGTAAGCTTAAATTAAAACTACAAAGCTACCCAAAAATTAAGCCTGAAACACATACTTCGAAGAACTCAGAGATCTATGTTTGAGGACCAGATCCAGTGAAGAGTTCTCACCCAGAATTGCTCTTGACTATCTTGATTTAGGTCCCCCAAAAGCAAACCCTGGGACAAGGATGGGCGTGTCAGTAGTTTATTTGGGAAATGATTCTAGGAAGCACTGGCAGGGGAAAAGAGAAATTTGATCCAGGGAAGGAAATTAAGCCAATACAGGGCACTTTAATTAGTAGGTTACTTTTTTGGACAAAGAAGGCTAAATCCTCCTGAGGGCCTCTGGGAAATAGTGTTGACTGCAACTGAGTTTCCTGCCCAAAGGGCAGGAAGAAAGGGTACTTGTCCTTAAACTTCCATTCCTCAGTGACTGAGGGTTGCTTCTGAGGGCATTAACTCCCTTTGCTTTTGATTTTTCCCATGCATGAGCAAGAGAGAGTGGTGGTGCTTGCAGTAGGATCTGTTGGAATGTGCTAGAATGGTGACTATCAGGGAGAAGTGGTCAGACCACCAGAAGTATCTGCCACAGTGTCCAAACTAAAAGAGATCCCAGCATTGCCAGTCATGTCACCTCTGCCCAGTGGACATTTTCAACAATTTTCCTGGGTTCAGAAGCCACACAATGTTGATGTCAAATTAGAAACTTAGATTACAAATTAGAGGAGTAGAGAGTCAGAAGATGTGCATTTGAGCCTAGGCTTTGCTATTCATCAAAAACACCTACTGAATGCTTGCTTTATATTCCACAAAGCCCTATACGAATAAAATTTATCACAAGTTCACATTGCTTTATTTGAAACCTTTGGGTCCATTTGTGTTTCATAACTTCTTGGGCGTTAGAAAGGTAATATACAGTACATGTATTGCATATTTCTTATCATCCCCCATGGCATCCAAGTGGCATGTGGTCATCGAACACATTAATATCCTTGCAGCAGAGCATGAGAACATTCCCACTTGGTGAGATGGACAAGGACCTTAAACAGTCACATGTCAGTTCAGGTCCGGTTTTGCGATCAGATGAGTTTGGCTCTAAAGTTATAAAAATTTGCAGGTTGTAGAGCCTTTTATTACTTCGGGATTGCAAATACGAATCTATGTGCTCGCCGGGCCCAGGGGCTCAAGCCTGTAATCCCAGCACTTTGGGAGGCAGAGGTGGGAGGATTGCCTGAGCCCACGGGTTTGAGACCAGCCTGGGCAACTGGCGAGACCTCATCTCTACAATGAATCAAAAATTAGCTGGGCATGGTAGCATGCACTTGTAGTTCCAACTACTTGGAAGGCTGAGGCGGAAGGATCGCTGGAGCCCAGGAGGTCGACGCAGGGGTGGCCATGAGCATGCCACTATACTCCAGCCTGCACGGTGGAGTGAGTCTCCAACGCAAAAAAAAAAAAAGAATCTATGGGCTCTATTAGGTTGTTTTCAAGCTATCTTTTCCAAGATGCCTTGACTTATTCGGTCCATTATAAAAAATAAACACAAAATAAAAGATTCCATGTTCAAATACACAGTAAAGGAATGAGATGCCAAGTCTAGAGCAAAAATCTGGGCAATCTGGTCACCTGGTCTCTTTCCTTAAGAATCAGTCCACCTTCTGGGTAACACATTCCCATTTATTTCCTTTTAGCTGAAAACACTGAGGCATCTTCAGTGAACACCATTAAAACATTTAATCGCAACTTCATTCTCCAAGGCTCCTCGACAAATAGGGCTAAAGAAAGGAAAAGCACCACCAAGGATTTGATGGTAAATGTCATTTGTGTCTTAATGCTCATCATTTTTCATGTTGATGGTACCTCCATTCTTCAGTCTTTCCTTCTGTAGTTTGTTTCCCCATGAGAGTCCCAAGAAGCATCCTTCCTCATGGTCTCATGGTTTATCAGACTTGGTGGGGGGCTGCAGGAGGAGGGTGGTCTAAGAGAGGTGAATAACATTCTGCCTGGTATTGGTAACTTTTAAAATATGTGAGTATATCCTCTCAACTATCTCTTCAGCTCCTTGTAAAAACCAGGTCTGACATAAAAGAAATAAAATATCTATACAGAGGTGTAAGGTCTGTTGAGATGTACGAGTTTTTGTTCCTTTTTCAATTCATATTCACTCTTCCTTAAGTTTCTTGTTAGCCATCGATGCTGTGTTCCTTTAAAAAAAAAATCGACAGCTACCCCTAAATGTGGTAAAGGAAAGGGCAGTTGATTATCTGCACAAACTCTAGAGCTCATAGAGAGGACAAATGTATGTTTGCTTTCCAACTAACATACGTGTCAGAATTTTGACAAATGCTTGATGCTGCTTACATAGGAAATGATGATCCAAAACAGCTGTCTCAGTGATACCAGTTATGCTGAGGACGTTTCTGGGCTGACAAGATTGAAGCAAGGACAAATTTATTTTGTTGCCTTTATGCACCATCCCTCTTCCTCCCCCTCATTGTCCCTCTCTCACGAGCACAGAAGTACTAGGTAATGGCATAATGGTGGACACATTCTTTCAAATTACAAATTACACTTTTAAGCACCATATGGCAACAGTGCTGCTTATTGCCTTTCCTTCATCAGCTGGCCATTAACCTTCGCCTTTCAAAGTCTCATCACCATTCTTCTGTTGTTTCAAAAGCTGAAAAGATCCATTACCATACTAAAAGGGCAGACCACTACTATAAGTAAGGAATCGGTTATAAATAAGATAGTTAAAAATAAATTACTTTTCATGTGGTTGCCAGGGACTATGGGAAAGGGGAATAGGAAGAAGCTGCTTGAAGGGTAAAGAGTTTTACTTTGGAGTGATGGGAATGTATTGAAACTAGATAAAGGTATTGATTGCACAGCCTTGTAAAGGTACTAAATGCCACTGAATTGTTCATTTTAAAATGCTTAATTTTATATTATGTGGATCTCACCTCAACAATATTTTTTTTAATAAAAATAACCTCTCTTAAAGTAGCACAGAAAAGTTAAAATGAAATAATGGAAAATATTTACTAAACACATTTTTTTTAAAGGGCAGAAATATTACTTTCTTTTTTTAATTCAGGGGGTGCGTGCACAGGTAACTACATAGGTTTATTGTGGATGGTGAGGTTTGGGCTTTTAGTGAACCCATCACCCAAATAGTGAGCATGAACATGATACCCAATAGGTAGTTTTTCAATCCTCTCTCCTCCTTTCCTCCTTCCTATAAGAGTTTCCAGTGTCTATTGTTTTCATCTTTATGACTGTGTGTACCCAATGTTTAGTTCCTTCTTATAGGTGAGAACATGCAGTATTCGGTTTTATGTTTCTGTGTTAATTTGCTTAGAATAATGGCCCCTAGCTGCATCTATGTTGCTGCAAAGTGCATGATTTCATTCTTTTCTATGGCTGCATAGTATTCCATGGTATACGTTTACCACATTTTCTTTATCCAGCCTGCTGTTTATGGGCACCTAGGTTGATTCCATATCTTTGCTGTTATGAAGAGTGCTGCAATAAACACACGAGTGCAGGTGTCTTTTGGTAGAATGATTTATGTTCCTTTGGGTATTTATCCAATAATCGGACTGTTGTGTTGAGTAGTAAATCTATTTTTAGTCCTTTGAGAAATTTCCAAACTGCTTTCCAGAGAGGCTGAACTAGTTTACATTTCCACCAGCAGTGTATAAACATTTTCTTATCTCTGCAACCTCATCAGCATATGTTGTTTTTTGACTTTTTAATAATAGCCATTCTGACTGGTATCTCATTGTGGTTTTCATTTGCATTCCTCTGATGACTAGTGATGTTCAGCATTTTACATATTTTTTTGGCTGCTTGTATGTCTCCTTTTGAGAAGTGTCTGTTTGTGACCTTTGCCCACTTTTTCATGGAACTTTTTTTTCTTGTCGATTTGTTTATGAAGTAAGTTCCTCTTAGATTCTAGATATTAGCCCTTGATTGAATACATAGCTTGCAAATGCTTTCTCCCATTCTATGTGTTGTCTGTTTACTCTGTTGATAGGTTTTTGTTTGTTTATTTGTTTGGACTGTGTAGAAAATCTTTAGTTTAATTAGGTTCCACTTGTCAATTTTGGTTTTCTACAAGAAATATTACTTTCAGACAAAAGAGAACTCAAGACAAGAAGCACTGACAGAAAACAAGAAGGAAGGATGTTTTGATTTTGATAAAATAAAGTAGTTAAGTCATGAGCCTTTCTTGATTTGCCAGACAATGGAGCAACACAATTTATGGTACAATGGTTGGTAACTTTAAAACTCCCATATCAACTTTTGATGCCCATCAATTTCACCATAAATACTTACAAATTACAGAACTGAAGAGTGTAATTATCAAGCTTTAATTAAGATGTTTATCTAACTTTACAGATCATTAACTTTTTTTCTAATTATCAATGAGCTACTTATAAAAATTGATTTTATACCAACTCACAAAACAAACCTCAATAAACTCCAAAAAGTAGAGAGTATAAAACTATCATATGTGACCGCAATGCCGAACATAATCTAAAGCAATGCTGTCTAATAGAACTTCGTGTAATGACGGAAATATTCCATATCTACAGTGCCTAATACAGTAGCTACTAGCCACAAGTGACTATTGAGCACTTAAAATGTGGCTACTGCATTGGAGAAACTGATTTTTTAATTTTTTTTTTTTTTTTGGTTAATCGAAATGTAAATAGTCATATATTGCTAATGGCTACCATATTGGGCAGGGCAAATCTAGAAAATTAGAAAAAATTTAAAACAACCAGAAACACTACCTCGACATTAAAACGTAAAACAACCAGAAACCCTACCTCGAAGTTAAAAAGCATTTGCACCCACATACCCAGCTATGTATGCTTGCACATACACATGCACCCTCTCACACACACACTATTGAATTAAAGAGAAAAGCAAACCCACAGAGCACTTAGAAAATGAAGACCGTACATATATCAAAGCAAATAGGATACATATCAAACTACACTGAGTCAAACTCATAGTATTAAATGTGTTCTTCCTTGTTAAAGAAGGAAGAAGCAAAACAAATAAACTAGACGTTAAATTCCAGACATCAAAGATAAACACAGAAACCAATTAAGACCACAAGACTATAGAAATGATCATAAATCCAGAATTTGATTACTTGGAAAAAATAAAAATTTTCTGTAAGGAACAGACTACCAATCCCGGCACTTTAGGAGGCTGAGGCAGGAGGATCACGTGAGGCCAGGGGTTCGAGGCCAGCCTGAGCAATATAGAGAGATATCATCTCTACCAAAAAAAATGTTTTAGCCGGGCTCGGTGGCTCAGCCTGTAATCCCACGCCTTTGGGAGGCTGAGGTGAGTGGATTGCCTGAGTCCACAGGTTCGAGACCCGCCTTGGCAACTTGGCAAGACCTCATCTCTACAATAAATCTAAAATCAGCCGGGCGTGGTAGCGTGCACCTGTAGTTCCAGCTACTTGGAAGGCTGAGGCGGAGGGATCACCGGAGCCCAGCAGGTCGAGGCTGCGGTGGCCGGGACCGGCTACTGCACTCCAGTCTGGGCAACAGAGTGAGACTCCAACTCAAAAAAAAAAAATGTTTTTAATTATCTGAGCATAGTGGTGTGTGCTTGTAAACCCAGCTACTGGAAAGGCTGAATCCAGGAGTTCGAGGCTGCAGTGAGCTATGATTGTACCACTGCACTCCAGCCTGAACAACAGAGTGAGACCTTGTCTCAAAAAAAAAATAATAATTAAGGAACAGTTAATTCTCATGCTGTATAAAATATTCCAGATCGTTAAAAAATTGAAAACTAAAAGATTCAAGTTGTGAAGCTATCATAACCCCAACTATTGAAGGCTGATGGGCTGGTAAGTGTGTACACATGCTCTGTGCCTACTCACATGCAAGCATGCACAGACACACAACCATACACCAATTGTACTTCCTCAGAGAGATGAAGAATATAAAATAAAATAGTTGCAAATTAAACACAGCAGTACATTAAATAATAAATTACAGGTTGATTTTGTGGGAATGCATGGATACCTTAAACACAGTGCTATTGATTAATAAATCACATTAATATTTCAATAAGAAAAGTCATTTCATCCTAAATTAATTTACAGCTTGTTCTAATTTTTATAAAAATCTCAGTGGGATCTTCTTTGAATTTAAGTTAATATAATAATAAATCAGAAAGACTAGTCAAAAACATTTTGCAAAATTACAGATATTTTCTTCCCAGATGTTAAATTTAAAAGCTGTAAAGAAACTGATGATTAATGGAATAGACTAGAAATAGGAATAGATAACAGGCACATAGGCTGGGCTCGGTGGCTCAGCCTGTAATCCTGGCACTGTGGGTGGCCAAGGCGAGTGGATTGCCTGAGCCCGTGGGTTCAAGACCAGCCCAGGTAACTTGGCGAGACCTGGTCTCTACAAAAATTTTTTTTTTTAAATTAGCCGGGTGTGGTAGCACACACCTGTAGTTCCCACTATTTGAAAGGCTGAGGCAGAAGGATCCGGAGCCCAGTAAGTCAGAGATAGGGTGGCCGTGAATGTGCCACTGTACTCCAGCCTGGGCGACAGAGTGAGACTCCAACTCAATAAAAAAGAAAATAAAAGAAAATGTGTTATACAATCTTTCTAAAAGCATTAGAAACCAGTAAATAAGGCATGGATTGTTTAAACAAACAAACAAACAAAAAACTATGCTTAGAAAATTGGCCATTGGAGTGGTAGCAGGAAAGAAAGCAATTTAAGTAATTACCTTATTAAATTTCAGATAGATTAAGACATATGTGTTAAAAAGTGACACCACCTTTTAATATTAAACCAGTCAATGAGCATGAGTGGCTTTTGATCTAAAAGGCACTAAACATTATTTTTAATTGCCTCTTCTCACACTTAGAAAGTGTCTGATGAGAGTGTGCTTCAATATCTCACTTCAGGAGCCAGCTCTGGAGTCAGCTGTGATGTATTGACGCCATGGAACTCTACTGCCAGTGATCCACTGCCTCCGGCCGTACACGACAGTGCCTTGACCCAACAGCCATCAAGTACTGTACGGATTTCCACCTGAGGAGAAGGCCTGGGGAGGTGCCAGTGCCCCACTGCATAGGGCTGTCCTGATACCTCACCCAGAAAGCAGTCTCAGACTTCAGCATTGTGGTCTTGCCCACTCTCTGCCTTAGGCTCTCAGGGGAATCCAAGACAGAAAACCAGGACGCTGGCTTCCAACAGCAGAGCTCCATGTTCAAAGGATGCATCATTTCCTTATTCGCTTTGCTACTGTGTGTTCACTTTAAGATCTTTTTTTTTTTTGTATCCCTTTGATTCAACTAGAATTCCATATCAACAATTTGTCCAAAGGAAAATTGTTGGAGGGGAGTGGAGGGAAGGAAGATGGGGATTATTACTTAATTTCCATTAATGCTTATTAATTCTTCACAAGCATCTTTGTCTTACAAATGCTAAACGAAAAGAGAGTCCCTCCAGTTAGTGCTAGGGACAGTCTTATTTGGGAACCACTTAACCATCAAGCCTGCAAATCTCTCTTCAGTCACTTCCTTCCTGCTAAGCTCTTAGCCCACCATACTACCAGTCATTCCCATTGCTTTGCAGTCACAAGCCACCAGATGGAAAGCTCTGATTCACTCATGCCATGCCCAAGTATATCTGCAACAACATCTTGTTAAGAGTTTAGGGTTCTTCCATGGGCTTACTGAGAACTTCCCCACTCTGAAAGGGAGAGGGGCTTCAGAAAAGCCACCATTGGCTCAGCATTAGGGCACTGTCCTGCAGAATAAAACCACATGAGAAAAACATTTTTGTGGGTACACATGTGAATATTTATTCATAATGAGAAATTATATCATACTACAAAATTTTAAGAGCTCATACCAAAAAATCACAGAAAATTTTAAAATAACATATTTGTTAAATTAACTGCCTGGCATTACATGAGAAAATTTTTGTCCTCCAAAATCTATTTCCCAATAAGTATTCATCAAAGTAGCAAAATGACCTTAATGATAAAGATAATTAGGGAATAGCCTTAGATAACTCACAGGTATGAAAAAAACAAGGGACAAACTGCATTTAATGGACATAAGCGTTGACACTGACTCCACATCTGTGGTCTGTTTGGACCTGTCTCAAATGCATAACTATGGAAAGTGTGTTTATAAAAGCAAGTGGACTAGATTTCACTCAATTAATTGAATGCTAACTTTTTTTTTCAAATGTTTGCTCTGAATCTAAGGCAGAAAGTAAAAGATGGAAGGTAAGAGAACAGTATGGTTAATGTGTACTAAGTGCCTGCTCTGAAGGAGGCAATGTTCTTCCCATTTTAATCCATATAGCAACCTAATCCAGTAGGTATTCCCATTTTTCAGATTTGGTTACTGAGGGCCAGAGATATTAATTTGCCAAAGCCACACCTTTAAGCTAATTGTAATTGGAATGCCTCACAAAAGCCTGTGTTGTTTTCAACTTCTGTGTTCTTTTGCTGCTACATGCATTTTCAGACCTGATTTGCTGCCAATTTTTGTGCCATTATCCACTCATGATGGGGGTCTACGTATCTTCCAATAATATTCCTTGCTGATGCTGTGTATGTGTTATCCAACAGAAATAACTCCTTTGAAATAAGTAAATTTTTGGCTTTTTGTTCTGTTGGTGTGATTCAAAGCAAAACACATTTTAAAAACACAACAAAAAAAGATCTGACTTCCAAATAGAATGTTTTTCTTAAGAGGCATGAAAAGCAACTATTGTTGTGTTACAGTGTTAAAATATTCCATTTTCTTTGACAAAATGTGTACTGTGTAAGCCTTGCAAAAAAGAAAAAAAAAAAGAAGAAGCCTGCTCTGTGGCATTTGAATTTTTATAAAGGTCTCCTTGTGCCAAATAAGTGCAAAGATTTAATTTACTATTAAAAACCATAAGCATATGTTATAGTTCCAGAAAAATTATTTTGTCATCAAGTGATTTTGATCTTTAGTGTCAATATTTATATTTAGATTAATTTTTATAAATGAAAATATTTTAATGGTTTAAGAAAATGAGGACAATAGGATAATAGCTTTGATGACTTCTGAAAGTTATGCTTCCCTTCCTATTATATGCACATTGCCAAGAATTACTGTCAAGAGAAATGATAAAGAAGTAAAAGTCATTTATGAAAATAAAGTTTGTGTGTGTGTGTGATTTTTTGGCTAGGGGAAACTAGGAATGAATAGGGGAATCAGGAAGGAAGTCATGTGGCTAGTTACTAGGGTGGGGGGTGGGGAGGAATTTAAAGCCTTACTTTTAGTTGAACCTCTCACTCCTCCATTTCCAGTTCTCATGACAACAGAATTTCCCAGAGACAATTTCCACCCAAGTGGTCATACAAGTAAGGTCAGCAATTCTCAAAAAGAGGTGCAATGTGATTTTGTCCCCCGGCAGACATTTGACAATGTCTGGAGACTTTTTTTTTATTGTATTTTTATAATAGAAACAAGGTCTTGCTATATTGCCCAGGTTAGTCTCGAACTCCTGGGCTCAAGCAATTCTCCCACCTCAGCCTCCCAAAGTGATGAGATTGCAGGCATTAGCCTCTACACCTGACCTGGAGACATTTTCTATTGAAACAGCTATAAGTCTGCTTCTATTAGCATCTAGTGGGCAAAGACCAGGGATACTGCTAAACACCCTACAGTGTACAGGATAGCCCCTGTCTTAGTCCATTTTGCCTTGCTATAACAAAGTTCCACAGACTGGATAATTTATAAAGGAAAAAAAAATGTATGTCCTGGAGGCTGAGAAGTCCAAAGTTAAGGACCTGCATCTGGTGAGGGCTTTCTTGCTGCATCATCCCTTGGCAGAAGGCAAAAGGGCAAGAGAGCATGTGTGAGACAGGGCAAGAGAGGGCTGAATTTGTTTTTATAACAAACCTAGTTTCAGTAGTGAACCCACTCCTGTGATAACAACATTAATCCTTTCATGAGGACAGAGCCCTCATGACCTAATCACCTCTTAAAGGTCTTATCTTTCAATACTATTGCATTGGGGATGAAGTTGCCAACACATAAATTTTGAGGGACACATTCAGACGATGGCAACCCTCCATGATGAGGAATTATCTAACCCAAAATGACCATAGTACTAAGGCTGGGATCCCTGAATTAGATCCTAGAGAAAAGCCTAGACATCAGTGGAGAAGTCCTTGCTGATCTCCATGGGATTGCGTAGCTAAGCAAGAAACAGGACAGAGAACAGTGACACGCCCAGTCTCTTGCAGGTTCGGTCATGCAAGAGGTTGTTGCACCTCTGAGGCTGCCATGCCCAGAACTCTCCAACCAGACACTGGCCCTTGTCATCCCCAAATAGGAATAAGAACCCTCCACTAACCTGAAATAAATGAATGTATGAAAATACTAACAGAAGCCAAGAACCTTTTCTGCCTGGCAACCTGATGTAGTAGTACCTCCAACATGAGTGCACATCAGAATTATCCATAGGGCTTGTTGAAACACATATCACTGGGCTCCACCTCATTGCTTCTCATTTGTATTTCAAACAAACTCTCAACTAATGCTGATACTGTTTATCCAGGGACCACACATTTAGAGCCTCCAACCTAGCAGCAAGGGAAAGGGAACCAGCTTGCTTTAAGACACTTCACCTGGACCTGGGATACTCCAGATCCAGTGAAAACAATGACGGTAGTGAACTTCTCTCTCCTGTATATGAGGTCCACTCATTCTATTCCTCATATCACATAAGGAAGCTGATACTTAGAGAAGCTAGGGAGTTGGGGAGCTGGGATTTAAATGAAGCTCCATCAGACTCTAGAGCTCAGCCCATTCCCCCTCGTACAAGAGAACTGGCCATCTCTAACTGCACTGCTAGGCAATGAGGAAATTAGAGAGCATGTCCTTCACTGAGCAACAGCCCAACAAACACTACATCTGTACTCTTTCCCCCACATAATTCAGGTAATAGTTCACTCAGATAACTTCCAGAATAGTGTTTAGGTATGCAGTGAACCATAACTGACAGTGTCATGTGACACACAAAGCAAAAAAACAAAAACAAAACTTTGAAAGTATGGAGTAAGTTGAGATCATTCACTTATGAAAACTCATGCTGCAGACATTACCGCTGACCAGCAGCGTGGTGTGGAGGTGCACGCAGAGCATGTGGGTCCTGCCCACTCACAGGCAGCTTGTCAGAGGAAGACAGGTGACGGGAAACAGGAATCCATCAAGCACAAGGGATTCTGGATCACCTAGATTTGTGGTTCAAATCAGAGGGCCAAGAAAAAGCTTGGGAAAACAGCCCATTTGGTGAGAAAGAGGGAGGAAGGGCAATCTGATCACTAAAACCCTGTCACGTGCCAGGCACTGCTGAGTCCTTATACCATACATCAATTAACCTTTACAGCAACTTTCAAAGGGAGGTCACAGCAACTTCATTTTACACCCAAGAAAATTGAGGCCTCAAATGGAACCAGTGAATAGCACAGCATTTTCCAAAACAAAGTTTCCCTGAACAGATAGTAAGGTTACATCACATCTGATTGAAATGAAACTTTTCTTAATTTAGCGTATTATAAAGAAAATGCCAGCTGAGCACAGTGGCTCCGAGCACTTTGGGAGACCACATGGGAGGATCGTTTGAGGCCAGAAGTTCCAGACCAGCCTGTGTGACATAATAAAAGCCCATTTCTACAAAAATAAAAATAACTAGCCAAGTGCGGTGGCATGTGCCTGTAGTCCCAGCTACTAGTGGGGCTGGGGGGCTGGGGGTGAAGTTGGTGAAGCAGGAGAATCGCGTGAATCTAGGAGTTCGAGGTTAAGTAAGCCAGGCTGCATTCCAGCCTGGGTGACAGAGTGAGGACTATGTCTTAGAAAAAAAAGTATAGGTTTATTAAAACAAAACAAAGTTATAGTGACTGTCTCCAAAAAGGAGCACTGGGTAGTGACAACAACTCCCTCCTTGATCAAACTAGTCAGGCTCTCCTGAGTCCTTTCTTGAGCAAGCCTCATCCTTAGCAAGTCAGTTTGGGGAAAAGCCTTCCACTCTTTTTGGGGGGGGGTGTGGGGAGGTCAGGGTCTCACTCTGTCACCCAGGTTGGAGTGTAGTGGCATGATCACAGCTCACCACAGCCTTGAACTCCTGGGCTTAGGTGATCCTTCCACCTCAGCCTCCCAAGTAGCTGGGGCTATGACCTCACACTGTGTCACCCAGGCTGGTCTCAAATCCCTGGCCTCAAGCAACCCCAAAGTGTTGGGATTATAGGTGCGAGCTACCAGAACTGGCCAAGAATCCCTCCACTCTTGATATCAAATTAAGTTCCTCTTCCCCTCATTCTTGCTATCTACTCAAGTCCTCTTAGTAACTTTTTATCCACTGATTCTTTTTATTCACTGATTCCCCCATCCTGTTCATGGGCTATAAATCTCTAGCTACCCTTGCTATTTTCAGAGTTGAGTTCGGTTATATATTGAACTCTCTCTTTCCTACTGCAGTTGCTCTAATAGAACCTGTCTTGCCATCTGTAACAGGTGTTCACTATAATTTCTCTCTAATAGTGGCTTGAGGCTAAAGGAAAATTTGTCACTATGGACTTTTTGTACCATTTAAATTTTGTCTCATAGGAATATATTGCCTATTAAAAATAAACAGGAAAAGGAAAAAGAAAAGTTATTAATCCTCAAACAACAACCTATGAAGAACTGAGTAAATATACAGCAGCTTCAACCATTAAAGTATCTGTTCTTTTTTTTTTAAGTTGGACTCTCACTCCGTTGCCCAGGCTGGAGAGCAGCGGCACACTCACAGCCACTCCAGCAATGACCTGCTGGGCTCCGGCTATCCTTCCACCTCAGCCTTCCAAGTAGCCAGAACTACAGGCACGAGCTACCACACCAGGCTAATTTTTGATTTATTGTAGAGATAAGGTCTATCCAAGTTGCTCTGGCTGGTCTTGAACCCTCAGGCTCAGGCAATCCACCCGTCTCAGCCTCCCAAAGTGCCAGGATAACAGGCTGAGCCACCGAGCCCGGCCAAAGTATCTGTTCTTAAGAAATAAAAGCTGCATTACACTGAATGAGGAAGACACTATGTGCATGAACTAACTAGCATACTAACCACACATCATTTCTATCTGTAAAAGCAAGTCTTGTGAGGCTCTCAGAAAGACAATGTGTGGTTTTCCAAGTTATAATTTTTATATCTACTTTAGGGCAATACAAAAGCAAACAAAATTAATCTGTAATTGATGTACCTCGAATTGACTGACTCCTCACAATTTATCTGAATAAAATTAGCATGGGTTTGCAAGATTTTCATGCATGCACATGCACCCAGTCCTTCACAGCACCAAATTGGAATGCAGAGCTCCTTTTATGGAAATAAAACTAAGAGAGGGAGGATAATTAAAAGTCCTGGGAATATGGTAGGTGGAACTCATACTCACTCCTTCAGATCAATCAAAACTGTAGGTGTTCAGGCAGGCAAATAATTACACATACCTCCAAGTGGACAATCTTTAAATATTTGTTCTACATTTATTTAGCAGAAAGGCTGAGTTCCACAAAAGACAAAAACACAAAAGAAATGGGACCTGCTGGCAATATTCAGCTTCTCCTCTCTGTCCCAAGCAATTTGGCTTTGACCTTCCCTCTCTGGGGAAGAAAAAAAAAAGGCCTAGCCCACTTGTGAAGGCAGTATAGCAATAATCTAATGTTATTCTAGCATGCCATTAGTGACAGGGTTGAGGGTAGTTGGCAACCTGTCCTTACTACAAGTAGCTTTTTATTGTATTCCTCCTCACCATGATCAGGGCCTTCTTTGGGAGAAGTCTTGCTACATTATTTTTGCTAAATGGTTGTAATTCCTGTGATGGTTTAGTACTTTTTATGAGTGTGTATCCCAGAAACTTCCCTAGTTGATCTACCCTTGAATTTGGCTCTGCCAAATCAACAATTGAGTGACTTCATATTTCAAAAATGTAGTAGTGAATAGACATTGAATAAACCAAAAAACTCAGGTAATGTGGTACAGAGAAAAAGAACTAAATTAAAAGTCACAGACACTGGGATTTTATCTCAAGTTTCCAACTTGTATACCCAACTGTCTGCTAGACTACTGACTACAAGCTCTACCTATAAACATTAAGACTCAACAAGTCTATGCTATAA